ATGCATGGTTGAGAACCCAGAACTGGATGGGCGAGGGACCCAGAAGCAGGTGGGTGAAGGGCCCAGAGTTGAATGGGTGAAGAAACCAGAAATGCATGGTTGAGAACCCAGAACTGGATGGGCGAGGGACCCAGAAGCAGGTGGGTGAAGGGCCCAGAGTTGGATGGGTGAAGAAACCAGAAATGCATGGTTGAGAACCCAGAAGTGGATGGGTGAGGGACACAGAAACAGGTGGGTGAAGGGCCCGGAGGTGGATGGGTGAAGAAACCAGAAATGCATGGTTGAGAACCCAGAAGTGGATGGGTGAGGGACCCAAAAGCAGGTGGGTGAAGAGCCCGGAGGTGGATGGGTGAAGAAACCAGAAATGCATGGTTGAGGGACCTCGTTGGGGAGATTCATCCTCTCTGTTGATCACTAGAAAGTGAAATCTAAAAAAGGAGAGAGGGGAAATCCAATGGCGGTGATTTCCTCTGACATTGGAGAGATTTCTTCTCACTTCCTGCTGTATCTCTGAGACCAGAAGGAGGAAGTCCTGGCTTGAGGACGTCCAGCATCATTTTCGCTTTCCTCCAGCATTTGTCACTATGTTTTAGATCCAGTGATGTCATCACTGGGTCTCTGTGCTTCTTTACACAATGCAGGCGGATGGGAGGGGCTGCCTCAATGCTGCTCTCAAGAGCCCTCAAGCCTGATGTAGAAAGTGGGCTGGCTCTTGGGAGGAGTTATGCAAATATCAAAATGCCTTGATGGACAGGTGCCAGGCAGGTTGTATTTGCATGCAGACCACCCTAGTTATTACCCATACGTGATGTTGATTCGGTGATGATTTGCTGAATTTAAGATCTTTGAATGCTGCTAACGTTTTTAAATAAAGCTGGTTTTCATTACATTTCCTATATTGGACCCAGTGACATAGTCACTAGGTCTCTGTGCTTCTCTATGCATTGCAGGCAGATCACGGCTGGTGGGAGTGGCCAGAAGGGGGTTGTACATAGCTAACTGAAACCATCGCAGCACCCCTCTCAAGATCCCTCAACCCTCTCTTAGGAGGAGTTATACAAATATCAAAAAGTCTTAATGGGTGGGTGTCAGTCTGGAGGAGTGGGTGTTCCTAGGCAGGCTATATTTGCGTTGCTATTCCCGCATGTGATGCTGAGCCTCCATGATTGCAAGAACTGAAAGCCAATGAATAAAAGGGGGGCGCGGCCAGAGACAGGCTGTGCTAAACATTCCAATTTATTGGCTGGAGGACGTCCAGCATCATCTAGTCTTTCCTCAGTCCAGCCTGACTGTCCCGGCCACGCCCCTTTCATTTACTGGATTTCAGTTCTTGCAATCACAGAGTTGCGCATGCCTGGCTGTTAGTATATAAAGTTGCCAGCAGGGGAGAGATTTACCATCTACCATCCGGGGGAACTTCTCACACGTCTCATATCAGCATTTATTGCTGGAAAATGATTCAGAATCTCCAAACATTATATATGAGAATTCTTCACAAAGTGTCCGCACTTTTATACATACAGTGGGGATCGAAAGTTTGGACACCCCAGCTAAAAATTTGTATTAATGTGCATAAAGAAGCCAAGGAAAGATGGAAAAATCTCCAAAAGGCATCAAATTACAGATTAGACATTCTTATAATATGTCAACAAAAGTTAGATTTTATTTCCATCATTTACACTTTCAAAATAACAGAAAACAAAATAATGTCGCCTGCAAAAGTTTGGGCCCCCCTGCAGAATTTATAGCATGCACTGCCCCCTTTGCCAAGCTGAGACCTGCCAGTGTCATGGATTGTTCTCAATCATCGTCTGGGAAGACCAGGTGAGGTCAATCTCAAAGGTTTTAAATGCCCAGACTCATCTGACCTTGCCCCAACAATCAGCACCATGGGTTCTTCTAAGCAGTTGTCTAGAAAACTGAAACTGAAAATAGTTGACGCTCACAAAGCTGGAGAAGGCTATAAGAAGATAGCAAAGCGTTTTCAGATGTCAATATCCTCTGTTCGGAATGTAATTAAGAAATGGCAGTCATCAGGAACAGTGGAAGTTAAAGCAAGATCTGGAAGACCAAGAAAAATATCAGACAGAACAGCTCGCAGGATTGTGAGAAAAACAATTCAAAACCCACGTTTGACTGCACGATCCCTCCAGAAAGATCTGGCAGACACTGGAGTTGTGGTCACTATTCCACTATAAAGAGATACTTGTACAAATATGGTCTTCATGGAAGAGTCATCAGAAGAAAACCTCTTCTACGTCCTCACCACAAAAATCATCGTTTGAACTTTGCAAATGAACATATAGACAAGCCTGATGCATTTTGGAAACAAGTTCTGTGGACCGATGAGGTTAAAATTGAACTTTTTGGCCGGAATGAGCAAAGGTACATTTGGAGACGAAGGGGCACAGAATTTAATGAAAAGAACCTCTGTCCAACTGTGAAGCATGGGGTTGGATCAATCATGCTTTGGGGTTGTGTTGCAGCCAGTGGCACAGGGAACATCTCACGAGTAGAAGGAAAAATGGATTCAATAAAATTTCAGCAAATTTTGGATGGTAACTTGATGCTATCTGTGAAAAAGCTGAAGTTAAAGAGAGGATGGCTTCTACAAATGGATAATGATCCTAAACACACCTCGAAATCCACGGGGGATTACATCAAGAGGCGTAAACTGAAGGTTTTGCCATGTCCTTCACAATCTCCTGACCTCAACATCATTGAAAATCTATGGATAGACCTTAAAAGAGCCGTGCGTGACAGACAGCCCAGAAATCTCAAAGAACTGGAAGACTTTTGTAAGGAAGAATGGGCAAAGATACCTCAAACAAGAATTGAAAGACTCTTGGCTGGCTACAAAAAGCGTTTACAAGCTGTGATACTTGCCAAAGGGGGCAGTACAAGATATTAACTCTGCAGGGGGCCCAAACTTTTGCAGACGCCATTTTTTTGTTTTCTGTTATTTTGAAAGTGTAAATGATGGAAATAAAATCTAACTTTTGTTGACATATTATAAGAATGTCTAATCTGTAATTTGATGCCTTTTGGAGATTTTTCCATCTTTCCTTGGCTTCTTTATGCACATTAATACACATTTTTAGCTGGGGTGCCCAAACTTTCGATCCCCACTGTATACACCGTATTGCCCGCCCCCCCCATATACACTATATTGCCCCCAGTATTGTCCCCCCCCATATACACTATATTGCCCCAAATATTGTCCCCCCCATATACACTATATTGCCCCCAGTATTGTCCCCCCCCATATACACTATATTGCCCCAAATATTGTCCCCTCCCCCCCATATACACTATATTGCCCCAAGTATTGGGCCGTCGGCCTTTCCACACACATGACCTTTAATGCCCCCCCAGTCTTAGTCCGTAGGGTTCAATATTGAGTTGGCCCCGCCCTTTCCACGCACATGACCTTTAATGGCCCCCCAGTCTGAGTCCGTAGGGTTCAATATTGAGTTGGCCCCACCCTTTCCACACACATGACCTTTAATGGCCCCCCAGTCTTAGTCCGTAGGGATCAATATTGAGTTGGCCCCGCCCTTTCCACACACATGACCTTTAATGGCCCCCCAGTCTTAGTCTGTAGGGTTCAATATTGAGTTGGCCCCGCCCTTTCCACGCACATGACCTTTAATGCCCCCCCAGTCTTAGTCCGTAGGGTTCAATATTGAGTTGGCCCCGCCCTTTCCACGCACATGACCTTTAATGGCCCCCCAGTCTTAGTCCGTAGGGTTCAATATTGAGTTGGCCCCGCCCTTTCCACACACATGACCTTTAATGGCCCCCCAGTCTTAGTCCGTAGGGTTCAATATTGAGTTGGCCCCGCCCTTTGCAGCTATAACAGCTTCAACTCTTCTGGGAAGGCCGTCCACAAGGTTTAGGAGGGTGTCTATGGGAAGGTTGGACCATTCTTCCAGAAGCACATTTGTCAGGTCAGGCACTGATGTTGGGGGAGGAGGCCTGGCTCGCAGTCTCCACTCTAATTCATCCCAAAGGTGTTCTATGGGGTTGAGGTCAGGACTCTGTGCAGGCCAGTCAAGTTCCTCCACCCCAAACTGGCTCCTCCATGTCTTTATGGACCTTGCTTTGTGCACTGGTGGGCAGTTATGTTGGAACAGGAAGGGGCCATCCCAAACTCCTCCCACAAAGTTGGGGGCATGAAATTGTCCAAAATGTCACCTTAAGAGTTCCATTCACTGGAACTAGGGGGCCAAGCCCAACTCCTGAAAAACACCCCCACACCATAATCCCCCTCCCCCAAACTTTACACTTGGCACAATGCAGTCAGGCAAGTACCGTTCTCCTGGCAACCGCCAAACCCAGACACGTCCATCAGATTGCCAGACAGAGAAGCGTGATTGGTCACTCCAGAGAACACGCCTCCTCTGCTCTAGAGTCCAGTGGCGGCGTGCTTTACACCACAGCATCTGACGCTTTGCATTGCACTTGGTGATGGAAGGCTTGGATGCAGCTGCTCGGCCATGGAAACCCATTCCATGAAGCTCTCTACGCACTGTTGTTGGGCTCATCTGAAGGCCACACCAAATTTGGAGTTCTTTAGCTATTGACTCTGCAGACAGTTGGTGACTTCTGCGCACTGTGCGCTTCAGCATGCGCTGACCCCGCCCTGTCATGTGACGTGGCCTACCACTTGGTGGCTGAGTGGCTGTTGTTCTCTGTGGCTTCCACTTTGTTATAATCCCACTAACAGTTGAGTGTGGAATATTTAGTAGCCAGGAAATGTCACGGATGGACTTATTGCCCAGGTGGCCACCTATCACGGGACCACGCTTGGAGTCACTGAGCTCCTGAGAGCGACCCATTCTTTCACCAATGTTTGTAGAAGCAGTCTGCATGCCTAGGGGCTTGATTGTATACACCTGTGTCCATGGAGGGGATTGGAACACCTGAATCACATGATTGGGAGGGGATTGGAACACCTGAATCACATGATATGGAGGGGATTGGAACACCTGAATCACATGATATGGAGGGGATTGGAACACCTGAATCACATGATATGGAGGGGATTGGAACACCTGAATCACATGATTGGGAGGGGATTGGAACACCTGAATCACATGACTGGGCGGGGATTGGAACACCTGAATCACATGATATGGAGGGGATTGGAACACCTGAATCACATGATTGGGAGGGGATTGGAACACCTGAATCACATGATATGGAGGGGATTGGAACACCTGAATCACATGATTGGGCGGGGATTGGAACACCTGAATCACATGATTGGGCGGGGATTGGAACACCTGAATCACATGATTGGGAGGGGATTGCAACACATGAATCACGTGATATGGAGGGGATTGGAACACCTGAATCACATGATATGGAGGGGATTGGAACACATGAATCACGTGATATGATTGGGAGGGGATTGGAACACCTGAATCACATGATGAGGGGACAATACTTTTGGCAATATAGTATATATATGTGTTAATGAAAAGTGCAGAGAATGTTTGAAGAATCGTCGTATTTTCTAGAAGCAGAAGCCCTGGACAATGAAATGGTGGTCACGCAAAATTTGCGCAGCTGTCTATCAAACACAAATTTTCAGGCTTATATAGACTTCCGTGAATTTTAGTGCACGCAAACACAATATATAACACCCAAAAGGTTAGTAAAATGTAACGTTCTGCCCAGTAAATAGATACCAAACATGTCAAAATCCAAAACTGCACACGCCTGTGAAACGGCGGCAAAAAATGGTGCCGAACGTTATCCGGAGGTGGCGCTGTCAAAGCCTTCACCAGGTTCTCAGTTTAGTTACACGGGAGCTCGGGCCCTAGAAGGATCTCGTTCTGATGTTCGTGGCGATACGCGGCATGTGTGGTGCCATCACTGTTTACACCAGCGTGCGAGACCCCTTGTGATAGCTTTGGGTAGTGACAGGTCCTCTTTATGGAGACCTTCCTTGTAGAAAAAGTCGGCAGTCAGGTGAGGATGAGTGAAATTTCTCTTTTTTTCGTACACAGGGTCCAAACAGAGCCAACGCATTTCAGCCTATTCAGGCCTTACTCATAGATCTCCACTCTGTTAGACCCCCGATTCCTCCTCCGCTCCCCAAAGCAGCCGATCGAGCGGAGACTGCAACCAGAAGTGTCCAAATCCTCGCCTCATTCATCACACAGGAGATGGGGGAATGGATGTTCCATCATGGGAGAGGGGACATAGTGAATGCGGGGTCCGGGGAGAGCGGATGTACTGAATGCGGGGTCCGGGGAGAGCGGATATAGTGAATGCGGGGTCCGGGGAGAGCGGATATAGTGAATGCGGGGTCCGGGGAGAGCGGATACAGTGAATGCGGGGTCTGGGGAGAGCGGATATAGTGAATGCGGGGTCCGGGGAGAGCAGATATAGTGAATGTAGGGTCTGGGAAGAGCGGATATAGTGAATGCGGGGTCCAGGGAGAGCGGATACAGTGAATGCGGGGTCCGGGGAGAGCGGATATAGTGAATGCGGGGTCCGGGAGAGCAGATATAGTGAATGCGGGGTCCAGGGAGAGCGGATATAGTGAATGCGGGGTCCGGAGAGAGCGGATACAGCGAATGCGGGGGTCCGGGGAGAGCGGATACAGCGAATGCGGGGTCCGGGGAGAGCGGATATAGTGAATGCGGGGTCCGGGGAGAGCGGATATAGTGAATGTGGGGTCCGGGGAGAGCGGATATAGTGAATGCGGGGTCCGGGGAGAGCGGATATAGTGAATGCGGGGTCCGGGGAGAGCGGATACAGCGAATGCGGGGTCCGGGGAGAGCAGATATAGTGAATGCGGGGTCCGGGGAGAGCGGATATAGTGAATGCGGGGTCCGGGGAGAGCGGATATAGTGAATGCGGGGTCCAGGGAGAGCGGATACAGTGAATGCAGGGTCCGGGGAGAGAGGATACAGTGAATGCGGGGTCCGGGGAGAGAGGATACAGTGAATGCGGGGTCCGGGGAGAGAGGATATAGTGAATGCAGGGTCCGGGGAGAGCGGATATAGTGAATGCGGGGTCTGGGGAGAGCGGATATAGTGAATGCGGGGTCCGGGGAGAGCGGATATAGTGAATGCGGGGTCCGGGGAGAGCGGATATAGTGAATGCGGGGTCCGGGGAGAGCGGATATAGTGAATGCAGGGTCCGGGGAGAGCGGATATAGTGAATGCAAGGTCCGGGGAGAGCGGGTATAGTGAATGCGGGGTCCGGGGAGAGCGGATATAGTGAATGCAAGGTCCGGGGAGAGCGGATATAGGGAATGCCGGGTCCGGGGAGAGCGGATATAGTGAATGCGGGGTCCGGGGAGAGCGGATATAGTGAATGCGGGGTCCGGGGAGAGCGGATATAGGGAATGCGGGGTCCGGGGAGAGCGGATATAGTGAATGCGGGGTCCCGGGGAGAGCGGATATAGTGAATGCGGGGTCCGGGGAGAGCGGATATAGGGAATGCGGGGTCCGGGGAGAGCGGATATAGTGAATGCGGGGTCCGGGGAGAGCGGATACAGTGAATGCGGGGTCCGGGGAGACTGGATATAGTGAATGCGGGGTCCGGGGAGAGCGGATATAGTGAATGCGGGGTCCGGGGAGAGCGGATATAGTGAATGCGGGGTCCGGGGAGAGCGGATATAGTGAATGTGGGGTCCGGGGAGAGAGCAGATATAGTGAATGTGGGGTCCCTAGGGTCTCCCTAAACAACAAAACTTTTTTTATTTTTAATCTGGCAACAAAGTTACTAAAGAGGTTCTGCAGCTGCTACAAAATGACGCCTCCTGATTGGCCCTTGCGCAGCGTGTTCCAGGCGTTCGGTGAATCGTGCGCATTGTGCGTTGCGTCTATCGGACAGATTTCTTTATTACGGCAGACCTGCAGATGTGGAGGGGCCGTCATTTATTTTAATTAGGATAAAGGAGGGGGAAGGGAGGGGTTAAGTCGGAGCTGATCTTAATTAATTGCGCCTGGTAGCAGGTCCTTCCTCGCAGTGCGCCCCCGTCACCTCGCCCCCGTTGATCGGAGGGGGGGGGGCGCACAATTAATACTCCCGGGTCTGGCTCTCATTAGCACTCCCCTGATTTACTATTTAACAAATTCCTATTTAATAAGTTTCCCACCCCGGGAATGTGAGATGTGAGCTGGCAGCTCAGCCTGCGAAGAACAACATCGGCTGCCAGACGGAGCGCCCCCCCCCCCCCGCTGTGGGATCTGCCACGGAACCCCTCGCACGCCGCAAATCACATTGAAGGTTTCCACGTCTCCATCTTGCTGGTTGTAGGTTGGTACCAAAGGGACCAAAACCCAATTACCCCCCCCCCCCCCCCTTCGATGGCTGATGGGGGGCGCCTCTTGGCACAGTCTGCGGGCACGGGGGAAAATAAAGGTGCGTAAATGCGCGGTCACACCGGCGGTGCGATTTCAGCTGTGATATACAAAGGGAAATGGCGTCTAATGAATGCGAATGTCAGCGCCTTACCGCGTGCGATCTGCTGCGGCGCCATTTCTAAAGTAGTTCCTGCGTGACTTTTCCTGCTGTTCCGTTTTTTGCGATTTCACGTTCCTAGAATGGAAATCTCGCCGCAAATCGCAAAAAATCATTGAAAATCTTCAGAAGTTGCAATAAAGTCTTCAGAAATCGCGGCGGTGCGACCGGCGACTAAACGGAGGAAGAAGCAAAGGACGATGGGAAAAATCACCGCAACAAAGAGGACTTGTGAGGACGGCGAATCTGATGTCGATCTGGACTCGTTCTCACGGGTCCCATTCACGCTGCGATGCAGAGCGCCACGGTGACGTGCGTTTTCGCATTAAAAAAAGATCGCATTCCCATTTTGGCGCTGGGTGAACGTGTGTAAATTCGTGCTGCGTTGTTGTGCCACATGCACGAGGCGACCGATTTATTTTAATGAGCGGCAAAGTAGCGCACATTTTTTTTCCCACAACGAGCATGCGTCTTTTTTTGCTGCATTTGGGGCGCCGATAACAATGGATGGTAACAGAAGGAGGAGTTCCTGTGTGCTTCATAGGAGTGTGTGCGTTCATGGGACGTCATAATGGGCACAGCGGGTGTGCAGAGCCGGGAACTCAGCACAGGGATGGTGGGAACCCCTCATAATGGGCACAGCAGGTGTACAGACCCAGGAACTCAGCACAGGGATGGTGGGAACCCCTCATAATGGGCACAGCGGGTGTACAGACCCGGGAACTCAGCACAGGGACGGTGGGAACCCCTCATAATGGGCACAGCGCGTGTACAGACCCGGGAACTCAGCACAGGGACGGTGGGAACCCCTCATAATGGGCACAGCGGGTGTACAGACCCGGGAACTCAGCACAGAGATGGTGGGAACCCCTCATAATGGGAACGGCGGGTGTACAGACCCAGGAACTCAGCACAGGGATGGTGGGAACCCCTCATAATGGGCACAGCGGGTGTACAGACCCGGGAACTCAGCACAGGGATGGTGGGAACCCCTCATAATGGGCACAGCGGGTGTACAGACCCGGGAACTCAGCACAGGGACAGTGGGAACCCCTCATAATGGGCACAGCGGGTGTACAGACCCGGGAACTCAGCACAGGGATGGTGGGAACCCCTCATAATGGGCACAGCAGGTGTACAGACCCGGGGGAACTCGGCACAAGGATGGTGGGAACCCCTCATTTAAAGGTGCAGTTGAGTTCTCGGGTCGGATCTCACGGCTCTGAATTCCTTTTTTTCTCACATCGTATCGGAATCCGAACATTTTGGGCTATTTTTGCCTGGTTGAGGTTTTTGTTTGTTTTGCGGAGATAGAACACCGTCGGCCATCACTCAGCGGTGTCAGGCGACTCTCTGTACTCTCCGTGCTGTCAGGCGACTCTCTGTACTCTCGGTGCTGTCAGGGCGACTCTCTGTACTCTCCGCGCTGTCAGGCGACTCTCTGTACTCTCGGTGCTGTCAGGCGACTCTCTGTACTCTCGGCGCTGTCAGGCGACTCTCTGTACTCTCCGTGCTGTCAGGCGACTCTCTGTACTCTCCGCGCTGTCAGGCGACTCTCTGTACTCTCGGCGCTGTCAGGCGACTCTCTGTACTCTCCGTGCTGTCAGGCGACTCTCTGTACTCTCGGCGCTCTGAGGCGACTCTCTGTACTCTCGGCGCTGTCAGGCGACTCTCTGTACTCTCGGCGCTG